TCTGAATTTGCCTTAAACGTACTAAAAATGGAAATACTGTATGACCCAGCAACCCCACTGTTGGGTGTCTAACTGAAGAACATGAAACCATCAACTCAAGAAAGTACAAGCTCTACAATTTTTATTGTAGTACTATTTACAATAGCTCAGACATGGAAGCCATCTAAATGCACATCAATAGAAGACTGGATCAAGAAGATATATGCACACTATGGAATACTATTCAGCCATAAAGAAAGATAAAATGTTGTCATTGATAGCAAAATGAAAGGAGTTTGAGAGACTAATGTGTAAAAAGCAAGTCTGAATGACAAGACAAATACTGGACATTTACATAGTGGACAACTTGACAAAGTAAAATAATAAATGAAGTGAGATTTCTGAAGTTAAGAGGGAAAGAAAGGGAGAATGTGTCATAGGGCATATAAGTGATGGTGATAGGGAAAAAATGAAATAAATTACAATTCAGCAAAAGAAAAAAAACAGGAAAAAATGTTATATGATGAAATTATTGAGAGAACTGTCATAGTACCTGCAAAAAGGAAAGAAAAAGGGGGAAAGAAAAGAAAAAGGAAACCTTCCTCAAGGTCTCACTGCTGGTAGGGCCAGACCCAAACTTTGTGTTAAGATCTGCCTACATCCAAAGACTCCATTCCTTTCCGCTGTCAGGCTGCCAGAATTTTTCGTGTGTTGCAGAGGTAAGAGGACCAGTGGTTAAGAGAGGATTTGGGCTTAGGTTGACCTGGATGCAAATTGGAGCAAGTTACATAATCTCTCTGATCCTCCAGTTCTTTCTGCATTTACAAAATAAGGATAATGACGCTTGTTTGCAGCTGAGTAAATAGGATAATGCACATCTATTAGCACAGGACTGGGCACATAGAAAACACTTAATAAACCTTAGTGATTAGTATTCATGAAGAGGAAGAGATAGAATCACAGTGTTTAATTGTTTGCTTTTGTCAGTGGTTGGTTCATCTTTCTTTTTTTTTTTTTTTTAACATTTATTTATTTATACAAGAACCAGGGTACAGGCCAGATGTGTGGAGGGTGAGAGGTCCCACCAGAGGCAGAGCGGATAACAGAACAGGCAGACTGATGAAATACACTGCTGAGGGGAGCAGCGGGCAAGACAAGAGAGGTCTGCTGGGCCATGTGGGTTGCTCCCTGGCTGGCTGGCGATCGAACCGGCGCTGCAGAGTCTGTGGATTGCTTCATAGTGCAGCGCCCAACCCCTCGCACCACCAGGGAGGCCCTGGTTCATCATTGTTAACAGAACCTGTTTAGGACTGAGCCTGAGCAGTGGAAGTAAGGTACTTTGAGTCTTCCTGGATTGGAGAAGAGTGCCCTGAACATAAGAATTTAAATAGGGATCCAAGGAGTTCCACCAGGTTTCAACTGGGAAACACTTAAATGTGTCTCCTGAAGGTGAACCCCGATGGCCTCCCCAGAGGGAAAATGGTGGGTGATAACCAGGTGGATGGAGACTTCTTGTTTACATGATTTTGGAATCGTGTGAATACATTAAACTTGTCCTCCCACTCTCCCCCCACCCCCAAAAGGAATTAAAATTTAAAAACCTGTTTTATCAAGAAGGTAAATGCTGAGACTAGGAAGACTAGGATGTAATGGAAGTAAAAAGCCCCTTACACTTTTTTGCTCCCCTAGGACAGATTGGGTCAGACAAACCCTAGTTTTGCACCCGCACTGGAATGATGTTATCATGACCCTAATTTCAAAGAGCGATGATAACATTTTAATTTCAGCTATCATGCCTTTGACCCTAATTCTGAGTCCAGAACCAGGGCTTATAGACTTGTTGTAATTCACCCCCCTAGATTGTCTCTAGCAGTATACACTGTTGAGAGCTGACCCTACTGGCTAAATAAGGTCTTTGAATGTATTTTCTGTGCATTTATTGGTGCTTTCCTAGTCTTTTAGGTCATAGATCTTTTTGATGCTTACATCAGTTATGATTCTGGGGATTGGATTTTCTGGAGTCTTGGGCAAAGAAGGCACATAACCCCATTTTACAAATCATCAAGAACTGCCTAGACACTGCTCCAGGGTTTTAACATAAACGAACTCATGTAAACCTCATAACATTACACTGTAGGTACCCTGATTCCCATTTTACCGGCACTGAACCAAGTGCATTAAGTAACTTGCCCAAAGCCAGAGTCAGCACAGCCAACCACTAGGGGATACTGTTGGCAGTAAGCCAAACAGGTAGGGGTTCTTAGAACCACAGCCTTGACATCTTTCAAGCCAAGCCACATCCTTGGCTGTGTAACCGGGTCCCAAGTCCCAAATCCTTCCTTCTCTGCAGATTCAGAGTTTAGGGGCAGAAAAGATGAGGGTGTGAATTTCCGCTTTAATCCTGGACAATTTACTTACTCCCTCTTAGCCTCAGGTTCCTTATCTGCCCCAAGGGAGTTTTAGAAGAAAAGACCTCTGCTTGCTTTAAGAGAGGGTGTGTGCTGGGGGTGGTGGTAGGGGTTGGAAGTTTCTGGGCAGTGCTGTGTTTCCCAGCTCTCCAAACAGGGGGTTTGGAGGGTCTGTTCTAGCCAACTCCCCAGGTGATCAACCCCCCAGGCAGGGATGGCCAGTCGCTGGGATACTGCTCCCCAACTAGGAAAAGAGAGGCTACTGGGGCCAGCTCTAGCCATTCTGGCTGCCAGGAGGTCCAGGGTGGAAGTTCGAGATGAGCTTGTATCCTCAGGAAGGCTTCTCGGGGGAAGAGACAGTGGAGTGGGGTAGAGTCCCGCAGGAGCAGCAGGAGTTAGTAAGAAGAGGTGGAAAGGGAAGGGTTACCCCCCTCATCCCCCCCCCCCCCCCCCCCCGGCAGCCGTCAAAGAACAAAGAAGCACCATTAGGCTTACAGTATAGGAGGAGCTGCGAGAGTGGAGAGGTCTTTGGAGGCGAGATCGCGCAGGAGCTTCCGAGCAGGGCTTTATTCTAAGAGCAACTGGGAGGGGTTTGAAGGAGCGTAGCCAGGAGTTTGAGAACGACTCCTCCAGCCGCTTGGGAAGAACGGGTCGGAGGGGGGCAGAAGGGTGCCACAGAAAGCAGTCCAGGGACTGAGGCTAGTGTGCGTGTGTTGCGGAGGTGGGGGGTGAAGAGGGACATGGACCTAGCATCTGGATCTTTCTCTGCACCCAAGGCACTGCGCGCAGTACCTCGGCTTTCTTTGCTTCTGTGGAAGGGCCCCATAAAGCCCTGGGCTTTGGCCAGCGCTGTAAGTGCGGAGCCGTCCAGAGCCCCCTGCGTTTTCGGGGCGCTGTCTGGTCCAGGTGCCCCAGAATCGGTGGGGTTAGACAGGAGAACTTACCACAGCTGAAGATGCAGAACCGTTACCCCCAGAACACACGAAAACCTCGGCCGCTTTTGGCAGCGGCCTCCCCCGCCCATGACCTCATGCTTTAAGCGCCCATATAGCCTCCTCGCCTCCGTCCACACCCAGAGGCCGCGTGGGGGCGGGGTGGGGGCCCGCGGCCAAGGTCTGGGTAGCCGGAGCACCTCATGTACACTGCACAACATTTCAGGAAAGGGAGCCACGATTTCCCCACACTGAATAAAGCATGCTTTAACTTTCCCTGGAGCAAAAAGAATTACTCGCTGTCTTGCGGGCCCTGCATGAGACAGATGCCTTGAACCCAGCTCGAGACCGTCTGTTCGGCCGAACCATCTTTGGTTCAGGTTTCCTCCGAGCAGGAGAGGAGAAGCCTGGAAATGCTAAGGTCCGGGGCTGGACCACGGGCGGGCGCGCCTTCGCGGGACTCGGGGGCTGTCCCGCTCGCGCCCCCAGGCAGGCGCCACCGAGGTTTGAACCCTTGGCTCGCCTTTCAGCCCGCGCCCTGCCCCCTGCTCGCAGCTGCTCTCGGTTTGGGTGCAGCGGTTTCCCCCGCAGAGGAGGAGGAGGAGACAGCGAGAGGAGCGACTCCCGGCTCGGGTTTCCGCACCAATGCTGAGCAGCCCCGGGCGGCCCCAGGCGGCCGTCCCTCCTCCCCAGCACCACGTTCCACAGTCATGGCGCGCGAGGAGGGGCGAGCGCGAGCCGCGGCGCCCCCCGCGCCCCCTCCCCTCCCCTCCCCTCCCCTCCCCTCCGCCGCCCGGCCCCGGCCCCTCTCCTAGGCAACCTCCCTCCCCGGCCTGCTGCGCCGCGGAGATGGAGACCCCTCCCCAGAGAGCTGCCTTTCCAGAGCCGTCTGCAGCGCCCCCTCCCCGCCCCCAACGGGGCGGAGGGATGGAGCCGCGCGCTTCGCAAACCTCCAGCTCCTTCCCCGTAACCCCAGCCCCTCTCAGCCCCACCGAGGCCGGGGTGCAGTTGGGGGTGGGGTGGGGGGGAGAGAGGCCGGTATACTCCGAGCGCCTCCCCGCAGCCCCCCTAGACCTTGGCATCTTTGCAACCCCTAAAAAAAAAAAAAATGAACAAAAAACTCAAACTCCAGTCGTTCGATTGCAAAGCGCATTACAATCACCGGGACGGCCACGCAGGAAGCAATCCTGCACCGGTCCGGGTCTAAGGCGGCAGCTTCCCGGCCACGCCGCCTTCTCCCCGGCCTCGATTTTCCGGCCACGCCGGAGAGTCTGCCACACCCCGGGGCTGACAGGTCCCGCTCCGGGCCGCGCTCCGTCCGCACCACCCTCGCCATCCTCGCCCAGACGCTCGCCAGCCTACAAAAGGTGCAGCCTCGCGCCCATGCAGGGCACACAAACGAGGTCCGCAGCCCGGCTCGGGGCAGGCTGCGAACAATGCGCCGGGCGGCCCGCCCCGCCGGAGCGCGGCGCCCCGGGGGACAGGGGGCGCGGGCGGGGGCGGCCGGGAGGACCCGGGCCGGGCGCTGGACACCTTACTTCCTGCTTCCCCGCCGCGGCCGGCCCGGGCTGCGGAGGGATATCTCGCCCCTCCTCGCCCCGCTCTCCCTCCCTCCCCGCCCCTCCCCCCTGCTCGGCTCCCCCCCACCCCGCCTTTCTCCTTTTGCAAGAAAATAATTTGACAGTCGATTTGCTGACAGGGGAGGAATTTGCATCCTGGATTAAAAAAAAAAGGCCGAGAGGAGCTTGGGAACGGTTGCTAGGGGTGGGTAATGGGTGAAAAAAGGGGGGCGCCGGGGAGCGGATCAGGAGGGGGGCGGGAGGGGGCGCGGGTGGGGAGCAATGGAAAGGTAAGGCCAGGTTACCGCGGCTCGGCCCCGAGTGGGCTGCGGCCGGGGGAGGGGCGAGAGATACATATGTATTTCTGTCTCCCTAGCACACCCCCTTCCCTCTAAGCGATGGCTGAGAGGCGGTGCATGCAGATGGGGAGTAAGTTTCCTGAAGGGGAGGGTGGATGCACGCGCGCAGCCCCGCGCTGCAAATTTCCACCGGGGAGGGAGAGTGGCTGGATGCGGAGAGTTTGGAGTTGCTGGCGGCGGAGGGCAGGCGGGGGCGCAGGGCCGGGGCCGGGGGCTGGCGGGCGCTATAGCTGGGAGTAAGTTTCCAGGATCGGGAGAGCCTGCACGCTGGCTCGCTAGTAAGTTTCTGGCCGGGGAGGGCGCCCAGGGAGGAGGAGGGGGGGGTGCAGTATATAGAAGGGGGGAGGGGGGAGCAGATTTCCTGCGGGGAGGCTGAATGCATATGGAGAGTAGATTTCCTGAAGGGAGGGTGGAGGCGTAGACGGACCGAGTAAGTTTCTTGCTGGGGTGGTGGCGGAGGTGGTGGGTTGGTGCTTTGGGCACCCGGCGCTTCCCACCGGGGGTGGGGGAGCCCGCTGCTGGGTGGGCGCGGGGGGCGAGCGGCCGGGCTCCCTGCTGGGGAGAGGGGCTTGCATCTGGGGAGTATGTTTCCTGGCGGAGCGATATTTGTTTACAGGCTGAGGGCAGTACTGTAAGTGAGTAGCGCTTCGAGAAGGCGGCTCTGACAGAAATTAATATTGAAATTACTCCATCAGCTCTGCTGGCCCCCCATCTCGCCCCCCAAGCGGAGACTGGTCTTGTCGGATTGCCCATGCACTTGTTGCAGAAGCAGCCAAGGTAGGCAAGAAGCTTATTAAGTTTCATTTAAAAAAAAAAATTTAGTTGGGAGATGCTCCGTGAGAAGACGGGGGGGGGGAGGGGAAGGAAAAAGTGGGGAGACAGAGAAGGGAAAGGAACCCCCCCCCCCCCCGCGTCTTTACTTTCAGTATGTTAGCAGGGCCTTCTCTTTGCTTTGCTTCCCTCCTTCCTTCTTCCATCTCTGGGCTGAACAGCATCCCAGCAAAGGGGGAGGGGTGTGGTGGGCGCTATAATTGGCAGCCCTGTCTTAAAGGGTGGTGGTGGTGCGGCTTGCAATAGAAGGATGTGATATTATAAAGCCTTCATTCTTGCAGCCAAGAAACCGCAGGACCCTAGGGATGTTCCTTTTGGGGGTTTTGACATGATGCTTATGTATATGTATATGTGCCTGTGGGTACTTTGGGGGTTGGGTACTCCCCAGAAGTTACTGTGGCCACCCAGATGGGAGAGATGTGCAAGGGGAGAAACCTGCCCCTTTACTCCCCAACTTCAGTTTGGGAGACTGGGAAGTTACTGCTGGTGGTCTGAAGAAATGGATGTTAAAAAACAACACAAAACCACCCATTCATTGGCGGAGGCCGAGAGCACCTGGCGGGCAGCCTCTGGCCAGCTCTGGGCTGGAGCATGTGCGCCTGCCATCCTTAGGTTAAAAGAAAATGACTTGTGGTTCTTCCGTGTGCCTCCCCTGGGCTGTTGGAGCCAGCTTTGTGGAAACTCTTCCCCAAACTAGAGCCGACTTTGGCAAGTGTGGGAGCAGCGGGAGTGCTGAGCATGGCCTGGGCTGTCTCCTGAAGTGCAGGAAAGTGATGCTCAGGAATGACGATCCAGGGATGGCTGAAGAGTTCTTTAAAAAACGCTTCCTGAAAGCGGGCCGGGTGCATTTTTTAGCAGGCCATAAGAGGAAAGATGTAAGAAAGGAGTTCTGAGTTGTTCCAGTTGGTACCAACCTCTGCATCACTTACCGGTTCAAGAAAGCAGGCTGGTGATGGAAACTGTGGTTTGATGCTTCCTGGCAGGATAACAAGCAGGATTACTCGGCGTTTATCTGTTAACCAGAAGCCTTGGCTTCTCTTGGTCTCTATTTTCCTGCTCAACTGCTGGTTTCTGCATATGAGTTGAAGGTCTTGGCTGTCAGGTACCTTAATTGTGCTGGGAGTTTTAACTTTATCAGGGTAATTTTAGCATCCAAGAATCAAACCCAGACATGTTTGGTAGGGTCCGGGAGTAAATACTAGGTGTTGCCACTGACTAAAGTTGTTTAAGCTTCCTGCAGTTCTGTAGATAGGTTCAATTCTGGGGGGCTAGCGGAGGGGATAGGAAGGAAGGGAATGAGTTAAAAAAAAACTCTATACTTGTTACTGATGGTTGCTGCTTTTTTCCTTTCCTGTCATTGGATTTCCAGACAGAGAGAGAATTTTGATATTCGACAACTTGAGAGTTGAGTTAGTTGGGAATTAAGTATTATTGCCATTTATCAAATGTTCCTAAATAGGCATTAGTTTAAACAAATTAGCTTTCTTTCCCCTTGCTGAAAATCTGACTTTGGTTGGGGTATAGATGCCATGAAGGTAAAAAAAAAAAAAAAAAAATCTTTATGCGTGCTTATCCCAGGGTAGTGGAATTATTTATGTTCCTCCCCTTGAAGCCAAGAACAGTCATTCAGGGTTTGTTTTTTTTTTTCTTCTCTCTTATATTTATGAGATTTATTTTATTGTCTTGCTTTGGCCATTAATCAAGTCACAGTAGCTCCCCCCTCCCTTTCTGCCGAGAATGTTCTTGTGGTAATAAAGGTTTGAAGGACCATGAATCATAATTCATTCTTTTAAAAATACTGTGGTAATCGTCAGGATTTGATTTATAGGATTTGATACCGGGAGAGACATACTCTGGGCCCCGCCCTTTTAGGCATATCCATTTTCTCCAAAAGATTACATGGAAACCAGGTTGACATCTCAAAAAAAGGGTATTTCCCTTCTGCTTATGGACATAGAGAAGATTCATTTTGCAGGTTCTATAGGAAACATGGGTCTTTTCACAGCTTGGTAAGCAGGCTTCCACCTAGGAGGCACGTGTTAATATCACACAGCATTTATGTGAGCTTGCTGTGAAAACAGTTGTTCTATGAACTGTGTGAAAAGTACTCAGTTTTGCCTCCTTTAACCTGCTTGGGCCTGTGGTTTTTCTTGAGGTAGGAGCTTTGATAGAGGGGGCAGACTGTAGTGTTCTTTGCTGCTTATATAATAAAATGTGTAGTCACAAAGCTTATTTACCGTATTCATTTTGTCTGCCTTTGATGGGTGGGTTGGGCATAATAATCCAAAACATTATTTTGGGGAAAGTATAAGGGTTCTTCATAAAGCCGATTGATCAGAAAGTGTTAAAATTGTCTTGCATTCAGCAGTTGACTCAAGTTTACAGTATTTGTAAGGTGACCAAGAACTTTAAAGATGATTTGATACTCTAGGCTGGGGGAAAATATTACTGAAAGGGCAGTGGGGAGGAAACCAGTTTCTAGCCGTTCCTGGGCTTCAAATTTTTTATCTTAAAAATGCTTGGCTTGATCTGTGAGCTCCATCCATTTCTGAAATTCAGGGACTTGTTCTTGTGGAGAGAGGTCTCAAGAGGTCTTGACAGTCTCTTCCTGGGCCAACGGCCAAATTGCTTCATGGACTTGGGTGAGTTGATTAACTTCTGTTTTTGTCTTCGGATGGACTGAGTGGATCTGTACCTTGGCATTGCACAGAGGACTCTTGAGTGACCTGGTAATCTTGACCATCACACTGCAAAGAAATACTTAGCAAAGCCTTCCACTGTCTTGGGGGGAAGGAAAGTGCGCGGTTGATTCCTAATTATAATCCCAGTCACCAAAAATAATTTCAGTTCACTTCAGAAGTTTCCCTTTCAGTCACCTGGTTCACTTGTCTAATTATGTTTGATCAAGGCTTAGGTTAATTGAGTTGCTGTTTGCTGGCAGCAAGGAAGGTAGTCTTGGTGAGAAGTGGGAGACCAGAAAGCCTAGTGTGACTTTATCTACTTTCTATGGAAAGTTCACATATGGGTAATTGCGATTTGGTTGTATATTTGCAATAGGGTTCATGGTAACGATGTTGTATTACTGTCACTTCTGGGATAGCGTTCATTTCACCATGGACTTTTTTTTGGATGCTCTTGATTTTTTTATTGACTTTGAAGGTTGACATGAAAGATAAGGATCCGGAGAAGAGAGTTACTGGGCTGCAGGCAATACTAATGGGTTCTGTTCTAAAAGTAGTTAAATTCAACCCATCTTCCTTCTGACCTCATAAAACTATGTGATTTAGGAGGGGGGGGTGGTGATTAGAATCGCTAGGATCTTGTGGATTAATATTATTTCTGAATTTGCATATTGGAGGGGAATCAATGAAGTAAAGGGGAAGCTAAAACATACTTGGTTTCTTTTGCTGGGAGCGGGAGATGAGTGGCTGGATTCCAGTGCAAGGGCATTTGCAAGGGGTGGCATTTAAAGGGATAAATAACTTGGTGATATGAATTTGATCCCATGGCTCCCTCTCTTAATAAATCTTTTCTCCTGTATAAAATGGACAACAGAAAGTCTCTGATACTTTCTAAGAACTTTTAAGTTCTCAGGCTAACTACTTGCAGGGTTTTCTGGTTAATTTGGGATTATTGAGGAAATGGATGACAATTGCTTTTTCCTCATAGAAGACAATAGCTGGGATATGGTGAGCTATGGGGCTGTTGGTTCAGCTTCGTTAAAAATTTTTTGATGGGGGAAGGTGAAAAATAATCCATGTGCAGTGATAACTTTGGGCTGTAGAAGAGATCAGTTATTTTCGTGCTATAACTCTGGTTTAGTCATACAGTCAGCAGCTACTCACTGAGCACTTGCTGTTGGCTAGGCACTGTGTTAAGGTTCTGGGAATACACTGATTATTTGTTTATTTATTTATTTACTGCATGTAAGAACTGGGGTATAGGCCAGAGGTGCAGGGGGTGGGAGGATTCACCAGAGACAGAGTGGGGAGCAGAACAGGCGGATTTACTGAAATACATTGCTAAGGGGTCTCCTGCTCCACGTGGGTTAGCTCCCTGGCTAGGGATCTACTCAGGCTCTCTTGCAGCAGAGGCTCTCAGGCCGCATTTTAGCACTGAGACTTAACTCCTTGGCCACCAGGGAGGCCCTACACTGATAATTTAAGTAGACTTAGTCATCTTCCTTTCCCTAGTCCCTACTCTGCTTATAGAGGAGAGGAGATGCAGACTTATAGAGAAATATATATTGCAAAATGTGATAAATGCTTTAATGAAACCACAGGGAATGGTGACCTGAACTTAGCTAGAAAAACTTCTCTGAGCATGGGGGGGTGAAGGACAGAGAACGTCAGGGGGACCATGAAGAGTAGAGTCTATGCAGAAGGACTTTGGTTTGAGGGTAACGAAAAAGAAGTACAGTTAGATATGGGGAGGGAGCACAATCATCTTGCAGAACTCTGGGGGCCCTGAAAAGATTTAGGTTTCATTTGATAGGAACTGTGATCCCTCTGAAAGTTTGCAGTGGGAAGTGATACCCCCAACTCATATTTAAGGGGAATTTCATTGGTAGAGAGGGGCAGGTGTGGAATTGGGGAGCACAGTAAAGAAGCAGTGGGAACAGAGCAAGTGAGGAGGTGACAGGTGAGTGGAGAGGGTGAGGGTGAGATGCAATTTAGAGGTTGGGTGGGCTGGGCTTATTGATGGATTTGCAGGTGAAGTGAGGAGGAACTCTGGAAACTCTGAGGATTCTGGCTTGAGTGAGTGTTCTGGCTTGAGCGGTGGGGTAGATGGGTGGGGAAGATTGGGAGGGCAAGGGGAGCAGAATCAAGCTATTTCAGTTTGGGCACTACTGAGTTTGAGATGCCTGGACACAAGGTGGAGAAGTCTGGTAAAAAGCAGTCAGATGCAGTGTCCAGTGCCAGAGGAGTAGGTGGGCAAGAGGGAGA